TGAAGGCCCCCGGGTTGAGTCCCCCTTCCCGAATCCAGGTGATCCCATTGTCAGTTCACCACCTATGAGTGAGAGTCTTCTGTGTCGCTTGCGCTGGGAGCTGGAGACTGGAGCTGTTCCTATTCGGCCGTCTTGCTCGACATTGCTTTCTAAAGGTAGATCCCTGGCCAGAATGTTTGAGTTATGACAACCACTCCAGAGATTTATTTTAGAAAAACAGTCACCACTGGCAGCATGTTTCAGTGACACAGAATGGGTTACAAAACTTGCTTACTTGTGGACATATTCAACCTACTCAGTGAACTCAATCTTTCACTTCAGAGAAGAATGACAGCTGTGTTCAAGTCAGCAGATAGAGGGACTGCATTCAAAGCCAAAGTGGAATTATGGGGGCAACAAGTGAACAGTGGGATTTTTGACATGTTCCAAAATTAGCAAAGATTTCGGAAAAGATTGTGCCATGGCCTTCTTTCTCCAAGCTAGTGCATGATCACCTATCTCAGCTTTCAAAAGAGTTTAAGCATTATTTTCTAACTACAAAAGACCCTAGGACTGTGAAGAAATGAATCTGTCCCATTTGTGAATAAGCCAAGTGAACTGACTTGTCCGTGCTAGCAGAGGATCAACTGTTTGAGATGGCAAATGACAATGACCTTAAAAGCATATTTGAGACAACTTTGAATCTCCATACATTCTGGATTAAAGTCAAGGTGGAATATCCCGAGACTGCCACAAAAGTACTGAAAATCTTGCTTCCATTTCCAATATCCAATCTTTGTGAAGCAGGGTTTTCTGCAGTGACAGCAACCAAAATGAGATTATGGTGCCGACTGGGCATAAGCAATATACTTCAGGTGTCACTGCCTCCCATCACCCGCACATGGGACTATCTAGTTGCAGGAAAACAAGCTCAGAGCTCCCACTGATTCTACATTATAGAGTTGTATAATTATTTAATTATATATTGCAGTGTAATAATAATAGAAATAAAGTATACAATAAATGTAAATGCGCTTGAATTATCCCTAAAGCATCCCCTTACCCCAATCCACAGAAAAATAGTCTTCCATGAAATTGGTCCCTGGTGCCAAAGAGGTTGGGGACCATTGCATGTGAGGACACAATGACAAGGCAACTATCTTCAAGCCAAGGAGAGAGTCCTCAGAAAAAATCAAAGCTATTGAAACCTTGATCTTGGACTTCCAGCCTCTAGAACTGTAAGAAAATAAATTCCTGTTATGTAAGCCACCCAGTCTGAGGCATTTTGTTATGGCAGCCCTAGCAAACTAATATATTCAGCAATTTTTTTTTTTCCAGGACATAAACATATTTTAATATCCTACTTCCTGGGGAGAAATCCTTTTAATTATTTTTGTGTATTTGGAAATAGGGGTTGTATTCCAAATTGTAGTCTACTATAAAGAACTACCTGAGGCTGGGTAATTTATAAGAAAAAGAGGTTTAAATTTCTCACAGTTCTGCAGGCTGTACAGGAAGCATGACTGGAAAACCACGGGAAACTTATAATCACGGTAGAACGGTGAAGGGGAAGCAAGCACCTCTTCACACAGTGGTATGAGAGAGAGAGAGTGAATGGGGAAGTGCCTCACACTTTTAAACCATCAGCTCTCAAGATAACTCACTATCATGAGAACAGCAAGGGGGAAATTATCCCCATGATTTAATCACCTCACAGCAGGTACCTCCTCCAACACTGGGAATTACAATTTAACATGGGATTTGGGTGGGGACACAGAACCAAACCATATCAGGGATATATTAAAATAAATTGTACTGAGAAGTACACAACAGCACCCTGGAATATTGCTGCCAAAAATGGACCTAATCATAAGGAAACATCATATAAATTCAAATTGAGGAATTACTCCAGAATAAAGAAGACTAAAGAAACATGACAACTAAATGCAATACTTGAACCTGCATTGGACCCTGAAGCAGTTTTATCTACCTATCCATTCATTTATCCACCCATCGAAGTAAAGGATATTATTGGGATAATTGTCATAATTTGAATAAAATCTATAGATTAGGTATTAGCATTGTATCACCATTAATTTCCTAGTTTTGATAGTTGTATTCCGCTTTTATAAGAGAATTTTCTTGTTCTTAGGAAATACTGGAAAATCTGGGCAAAAAACATTCTGGAATTCTTTAGAGTCTTCTTTCAACTTTTCTATATAAGTTTTAAGTTTATTTCAAAATACGCTATAAAATTAGAAATTCAAATAAAAATAACAATCAAATTGAGAGGTGTGTACATTTAACAAAATAGTTATACTAAATCAGGTTAAATTTTAAGCACGCTGAAAATTTACTGAGACCTGGGAGTGTTTGTTTCTGTCAGGGTTGGTTTCAAAGTGCATAGTGGCATATTGAATTTTGTGTAATTTCCAGTAACATAGTGCAAGGATGACTATCCATACACATTTAGTGTTGCAATAATATAAAAAGCGTCAGGAGCACTCCAGCCAGCACAACAAGTCCCCAGGGACAGCTAAGCACTCCAGTGTCTAGGGGCTGTGGGAAACTGGAAAGAAGCAATCCAGTGTAAATATGACTTCCAAGCTGGCTGTTGCTCTATTGCTCTCTTGGCAGTTGCATGCTTTCTATAGCACTGTGTGAAGGTAGGCTCATCTTTTTAATCAATAGAGTTTTCTTTTATCTAAATATGATTATCCAAAAGCAAGGCTATCCAAAATGCTTTCAGATTTGCTTATTAAAAAAATTAAAACAAAAAAATTCTCTATTTGCATTCATTTGATGTTGGCATGAGTACAAAATAACTTTTGTGGGCCTTAGACATTTTTACCTTTGTGGGACTCTGCAGCCATCATAATATCAATACTTCAAATCATTTTTGGTGTAACTTAAAATACTTCAACATTTTTCCTGTTTTAGGTAAAATGTAGGAGATTTTTGTGGGTCCTAAAAATTTTATCTTTATTTCTGTTGTGAGAAAAAATAACACTTTCTTAGACTGTAAAACTTCATGTTTTTCTTCTGACTTTAAAGGCAATTAAAACAACTTCATGGGCCCCTAAAATTATTGTGGGCCCTAGGCACTATGCCTACTGTGCCTAATGCATAAGTCAGTTCTCATTTGCATTAAATTTTGAATTATTTAGGTTCTATCTCTATACCTCTCAGAAAAGTGTAATATTTGCATTGATGTAGACATTTAGTTGCTAAAATTCAGAACTTGCCTATAGCACATATTATATATCACTGTATATACTTATATTCATTTATAATTTATATCCCATTCCATTGGGGGGCATTGCTGGTTAATACTGCCTATTAAAATTGAACTAGGTAACCATGTATTTTTACTCAGTGTTCTATTGACAGAGACTCAGATAGTAATCATTTTCTGCCTGTTTTGAAGACTTCTGATGGGCCTTAGATCATCCTAAGATCCTGCTGCATAACAAATTGTTTGTTTTTAGCATGTGTTTTCTGTATTTGCTTTTTTGTTTCATCAGCATTAAAAGATTTTTTTTAAAAATACAAGACATCTCTGTAAAATAGTCATGTTTCTGTTGATTCTTTCTGAAGGTGATGTATTTGTTGATAAGATCATTGTTTGTCTCCTATATATAGCATTATAGCATCACGAAGAATACTGCAAAATGAAATGGAAGAAAAAGTGCCATATAGACATAAAATATTAATTGTAATAAATTTATAGTTTTATATATTTATATATACTTATATATTAGTTTTTATATTGATATTCAAAATAGTCAGTGAGAATCATTTTGAAAGAAAGGAAATTAATTTCAAGGGTTGTTCTAAAATTAGCTTTTCTATTTGTAGCAACCTGTTTCTTTAAGACATTTCCCATGGTCCTCAAAATCATCATATTCAAATTTAAAGGGTATCTAGCAGAGTTGTGCCCTTTTGATGAAAGCAGTCCTTACTTCCTTGCCGTGTTCACTGCTTCCATTGTGCCAAGCATTAGTACAGTACCACAATGCCAGCACATGAGGACACATTTTATACCTTTGCATACCAAATTTGTTCAAGAACTCAGAATTATTCAGAGTGGATTATATTATAAAAATTAAGAAATCATGTAAGTACCTTCAAAAGTTCTTAGTTATTTTGCTTCTGTACAGGTAGAATGTTTAGGTGCTGAGAGCACAATGGTGAACAGAACAGCAAAAACAAACAAACAAACAAAAAATTCTGTCTTTACAAATAACATGGTACTGACATCTGGTTAGTTTTAGCTATTGTGTCTCCCTTGCTTCTGAATTCCAGAGCAATACTTTCATTTTTTGCTATAAGCAAATTCTAAAACACAGTGTGGGGAAGTAGATAATCTGACATTTTGCATAATTAAAGTAATTAGAGAAGCACAAGAAAGTTTCTAAAATGATAATTAAATTTGAAATGGGAATTAGCACGAGTGAAGCAACTCCAGGTTCATGTTGATTAACATTAACCTTGAGTTAATGTTGATTAACCCATGTAATATGACTCCAGGCATCCTGGGAATTCCTTTTACTGTGAAAGTTGGATTCAGTGGCCTTTGGCAAAGTAAGTGGGGTTCCTGCAGCTCCCAGAAAATTGTGAAAAAATCCTGTTGGAATCATTTTCATTTACCACTGAGCCAAATGACCATGATTTCCAAATGCAAAGGGATATCTAAAACCAGATAAGTAATTTACCTCAGTAGTCTTTTCCTCTCTTTAGGGTGAAGCTTATTCATGAAGAGACCACTGCCTGAACATACAGCAAATGTAAGAAGGTTGTGCAGATAGTCTGAAGGAGGTGAGTTAATTTTTCCCAATTTCTCTAATTTCTCAAATTTCATTTGTCATGAAACAAATAGGAAAGATTCACAAATGGCAGTTGAAGAGTTTTACCTAATGGAATCTCACTTCTATTTTTTTTTTTTTTTTGCTTCTACTTAAAGGCTTTTTTTTCAGTGATAGAAAAAATACTAGCTATAGTAATTTGCTTTTTTAATAATTGAAAATGTAGAGCAATATAGCAAACCTCAAAGAGTATTTCTCAAAACAAAAGCATAACAAAATTTGTTTATTCTCTCTTAATTTGTTTTAAAAATTTTACTTGTCTTTAGAAATAAGGAAAAATGCAAATGAAAAAATCAAAGAGCATTCTTCCATGGTTTCCAGTACTTTCTTATTAAATATGCTAACAAAACTTGAAGTGAATTAAATTCAAAGCTATAGCCTGTGCTATTGGATACCCACCCATATCCACCTGATCTGCACCACTTCAATGCTCACTGTTTATCTTCCAAGGGCTTTCCCTGGTTGCCAGAGTCCACTATATTAGTAAGGCCTAGGTTGGAAATATTGGAAAATTAATGGCCTTGGGAGAAGACTTTAACTAATGACCCACTAAAGCAGTGTACTGTAAGACCTCACTTAACCTCATCAATAAATTCTTAGAAAGTGTGACTTTAAATGAAATGAACAACAAAACAGATTTTGCTATAGACTAATTGATAGAAGTAATAGTTATTTTCCTAAGGCATATTTCTGGTCACAAAAACATCATCAAACTTCTAAATAAAGATCAAAATACTTCTAATATTAAACACTGAAATATATGTGAACTATATATACATTTCAGAAAAATTAATGAAAACAAGATAAGTACCCAATTTTTGGTGAATCTGTGAGTGACAGAGGTCATAGTGGTGGTGGGTAATGTGGGGAGGGACGTTTACTCCCTATCCTAGTGAGGGGTAAACATGAGTCTTCCAATATCCACACCTTGCTGTTCGTCATCAAACCTCTTTAAAATGTCTAGTTTTGTTTCTAATGTCACACTTTTTCTCTGGGGTGTGTGTGTGTGTGTGTGTGTGGCCATAGATGTAAGAGGTGAACAATGCACCTTTAAAGTTTATTACAATAAAGTTAAGTCAGGGAATGAATATGTAAGATGCACCCCTTACCAGTATATAATTCAAAAACAAACATAATAAATATGGTACCCTCTCTGAACTTGTACTATATCATTTATTGTCATGTATTTGTATGATTATTGTATACTTTATAATTTTTTAGTTTTTCATTAATACATAAAAATGTACAAATTTGGGGGATACATGTGATAGTCTGATACATTCATGATATGGTTTGGCTGTTTCCCCATCCAAATCTCATCTTGAATTTCAGTTCCCATAATCCCCACGTGTCAAGGGAGGGAGCAGTGGGAGGTAATTGAATCATGCGATTTCCCCTATGTTGTTCTCGTGATAATGAATGAGTTCTCATGAGGTCTGATGGTTTTACAAGGGGCTTCCCCTTTCACTTGACACTCATTCTCTGTCCTGACGCCCTGTTAAGAGGTGCATTCTGTCATGATTGTAAGTTTCCTGAGGCCTCCCTGGCCCTGCTGAACTGTGAGTCAATCATGCCTCTTTTATTTAAAAATTATCCATTTTGGGGCAGTTTTTTATAGTAGTGTGAGACCGGATTAATACAATCAAATCTGGGTAACTGGGATGTACATCACCTTAAATACTTTTCTTTGTGCTAGGAACATTTGAATCATTCTCTTCTAGCTGTTTTGAAATGTGCAATAGATTGACTCACCCTACTGAACTATGGAACGCAATGTCTTATTTCTTTCAATTAACTGTATACTTTTACCCACTATTCAATCTCTGTTCTTCCTCCTCACTCCCAACAATTCTTGACCTTGGTAACCATCAATCTACTCTCTATCTTCATGATATCTACTTTTGTATCTACCACATATGAGTGAGAATAGGCCATGTTTGTCTCTCTGTGCTTGGCTTATTTCACATAGCATAATGACCTCCAGTTCTAGCTATGTTGCTGCAAATGACAGGTTTGCATTAGTTATTGTGGTTGAATAATATTCCATTATGTATACATACCACAGTTTCTTTATACACTCGTCCATTGATGGACACTTAGTTGATTACATATTTTGGCTATTGTGAATAATTCTACAATAAACGTGGGAGTGCAGATATCTCTTTGATATATCAGTTTTATTTCTTTTGGATATATACGCAGTAGTTAATTGCTGGGTCATGTGTAGCTCTATTTTTAGTTTTAGGAGGAACTCCATACCATTTTTCATAGTGGTCATTCTAATTTACATTTCCACCAACATGTATGAGGGTTCCCCTTTCTCTCCATCCTCACCAGCATCTGTTATTACTTGTCATTTTGATAAATGCCATTGTAAGTGGGGTTAGATGATATCTCATTGTGGTTTGGATTTGCATTTCTCTTGTGACTAGTGATGTTGAGCATATTTTCATATAACTGTTGGCCATTTGTATGCCTTCATCTGAGAAATGTCTGTTCAGATTTGTTGTCCATTTTAAAATCAGATTAATTTGTTTTACGCTATTGAATTGTTGGAGCTCCTTATATATTCTAGTTACCAATACTTGTGAAATGGATAGTTTGTAAAAATTTTCTCCCATTCTGAGCTGTCCCTTCACTTTGGTGATTGTTTTCCTTGCTGTACAGAAGCTTTTTAGCTTGATGTAATCTCAATGGTCAATTTTTGTTCTTGTTGCCCATGCTTTGCCCAGACCAATGTCCTGGAATGTTTCCCCAATGTTTTCTTCTAGTAGCTTCATAGTTTCAGGTATTATATTTAAGTCTTTAATTCATTTTGATTAAATTTTTGTATACACTGAAACATAGGAGTCTAATTTCACTCTTATGCATATGGTTGTCTGGTTTTCCCAGCACCATTTATTAAAGAGACTGCCCTTCCCCCATTGTCTGTTCTTGGTGTCTTTGTAAAAACTGATCTACCTTTAAATGTGTTTACTGATATCTGGGGTCTCTATTCTATTCTACAAGTGTACATGTCTGTTTTTCTACTAGTCATGCTAATTTGGTTACCATACCTTTGTAGTATGTTTTAAAGTTGGATAGTATGATGCTTCCAGCTTTGTTTTTTTGTTTGTTTGTTTGTTTGTTTTTTTGTTTGTTTGTTTACTCAGGATTGCTTGGGCTATTCAGGGAATTTTTTAGTGTGTGGTTCTATATAAATTTTGAGGATTTTTTTTTTGTGTGTGTGTGTGAAGAAAGTCAGAATTTTGACAGGGATTGCATTGAATCTCTAAATTGCTTGTCGTTCTTGAAGGCAGCATGTACTTGGGTCTTGTTTCTTTACCCATTCAGCACCTCTACAACGTTTAATTGGAGAATTGAGAACGTTTGTATTTAGTGCTATTATTGACAAGTAAGGACTTACTACTGACAATTTGTTTCTTATTTTCTGGTTGTTCTCAGACTCTTCCTTTATTACCATCTTCCTTCATGGTTAAGTGATTTTCTCTGATAGTAAGCTTTTAATTCATTGTTTTTTATTTTTACTGTACTATTATAGGTTTTTGCATTGTGGTTACCTTGAGGCTTACAACAAACATCTTTAAAATATAACAAGTTATTTTAAGGAGATGACAACTTAGAGCACAATAAAATAGAAATAAAAGAGAAAACTAAAAAACAAAACTGCTCACAAGGATATTCAGGACTTGAACTCAGCTCTGGATCAAACAGACCTAATAGACATCTACAGAACTCCCCACCCCAAATCAACAGAATATACATTCTTCTCAGCCCCACATTGTACTTATTCTAAAATTGACCACATAATTGGAAGTAAAACACTCCTCAGCAAATGCAAAATAATGGTAATCATAACAAACAGACTCTAGGACCACAGTGCAATCAAATTAGAACTCAGGATTAAGAAACTCACTCAAAACCACACAACTACATGGAAACTGAACAACCTGCTCCTGAATGACTAAACAAAATAAAGACATAAATAAATAAGTTATTTAAAACCAATAAGAAGAAAGACACAACATACCAGAATCTCTGGGACACAGCTAAAGAAGTGTTTAGAGGAAAATTTATAGCACTAAATGCCCACAGGAGACAGTGGGAAAGATCTAAAATTGACACCCTAGTGTTACAATTAAAAGGACTAGAGAAGCAACAACAAACAAATTCAAAAGCTAGCAGAAGACAAGAAATAACTAAAATCAGAATAGAGCTGAAGGAGACAGAGACACGAAAAACCCTTCAAAAAAATCAATGAATCCAGGAGCTGCTTTTTTGAAAGGATTAACAAAATATATAGACCACTATCCCAACTAATAAAGAAGAAAAGAAAGAAGAATCAAATAGACACAATAAAAAATGACAAAGGGGATATCACCACTGATCCCACAGAAATACAAACTACCATTAGAGAATACTATAAACACCTCTACACAAATAAAATAGAAAATCTAGTAGAAGTGGATACATTCCTGAACACATACACCCTCCCAATACTAACCCAGGAAGAAGTCAAATCCCTGAATAGACCAACAATAAGTTCTGAAATTGAAGCAGTAATTAATAGCCTACCAGCCAAGAAAAGCCCAGGACCAGACAAATTCACAACTGAACTCTACCAGAGGTACAAAGAGGAGCTGGTACCATGCCTTCTGAAACTATTCCAAACAATAGAAAAAAAGAGACTCCTCCCTAACTCATTTTATGAGGTCAGCATCACCCTGATACCAAAACCTGGCAGAGACACAACAACAACAACAAAAAAGAAAACTTCAGGCCAATATCCCTGATGAACATTGATGCAAAAATCCTCAATGAAATACTGGCAAACCTAATCCAGCAGCACATGAAAAAGCTTATCCACCATGATCATGTCAGCTTCATTCCTGAGATGCAAGGCTGGTTCAACATATGCAAAACAATAAACGTAATTCATCATATAAACAGAAC